TAAATGATATTAACAGAACCAAAGTGTACAGGGTCCAAACAAACATAATACAACTATACCAAAAGACTAAGATAAACTATACCAAAAGACTAAGATAAACGAGCCTAGGGGAAATCTGGTAGCATCTCAGAACAACCCTTCCTAACTTCAACAGCAAGAGAAGCCAAAGAAACACATAAAAAAACATAAAATCTGATAGAAACAACAACTATCATTAACAGAATTCACCATGCCAATTCACCTAAAATCAATTCTCACCCAAATCAACCAAAATTGCATTTCACTTCACCCTGCCAATTCACCTAAAATCGTTCAAAGAATCAGAGTGCAAATTCAGCGAAAATCGTTCACAGCAAATTCACCGAAAAATAAAATCACCCAAAATAAAATCTCACCTAAATCGTTCACAGCAAATTCACCAAATTCTTCACATGAATCAACCAAATCGTTCACATGAATCATTCACAGGAATCACATATGATCCAATTCACCCAAATCTTTCACATAAAATCAGCCAATTCAAAATTCAACCAAATCACGATTCAATTCCTCAGCCACAATAGCATCTCCGGCCGCCGCTTCTCATCTCCAGTTCAGATCGCCGGCGAGCTCATCCCGTTCAATTCCTCAGCCACAATAGCATCCTCTGCAACTCGCCGGAACGGCGGCCCTCGCCATTAGTAAAATCGGGGTGCTCGACGGGCGGCTGCGTGAGTTTGAGACAGGGATGTCTGACGGCGCTCGACGTGATGTTAGCGGCGGCGACGGCGGCGCTAGATTGGGCAGCGACGGGAGAAAGTGGGCAAATTGCAGTGGCCGGTGGTTTGTGGTGGGATGATTCCGGCGTGTCCGGAAGGACGGGAGAGGAAGGGCGCTGCTAGAGATGGATAACGGCGGTCGACGGGATGGTATCGGAGGCAACGGCAGTGATCCAGTGGCGGCGGCGGAGACCGGGTGTTTGTGGGCTGATTTCCGCCGGGCTCGCTGGAGAGTGTGTGTGTGTGTGTGTGAAATCGTGTCTTTGTGAGGGAAAGAGGAGAATAAAAAATAAATTGTGGGTCAATGTAATATAGGTATAATTACCAACTTAACCTTAATTATTAGTCAAATGTACATATTTGACCATAATAGTTCAAATAATTATTAAATTGTCATTAATGATTGACCATTATTTATGAAAATTTGACTTCATCATAGCCATTGACTTCATTGATCAATTGGTGTAGGTTCATTCTTATTTCTTTCACTATCTCTCTTTCTCATATGATCCCTTCTCTCTCTATATATATATTAGGTGGATAATATAATTATATTCTCGGTTAAATTCTATTTCAGTAATCGGGCCAGTTTTAGAATTTTATTCTAGTCCGTTTATTTCTTTTTAGAAGTGGATTTTATTAGTAAGGATTAATTATTTTTGAGTAGTTCGACTTTAAGTCGAAAGTATTCTTGGTTATATTTATTCAGTTATTGAGTCAGTTCATTAACTTATTTCGCCTCGTTTATTTATGGATTATTTGAGATTGTTTATTATTAATATTATGTATTCTTATTATTATTATTATTATTTTTAATGCCAAATTTTCAATTAAATGACTAAATGTTTATTATTTGTATTATATAATTAATCTGAATAGATTGTAACAACCGTTCGATTTATAGAATTTATTGGGATATTCTATTTATCGAATATTATTTATAAGGGTATAATTATTTTATTTGGTCGCTATGTCGACTTAAATAAAATGTTGGAGTACTCAATCGTTTTATTTGAAAAACGGTTGTCGTACGACGATTTCAGATTAGTTATGTGAACCGAATATAATCCGTTCGAAAAATGGATTTTACGGATATGTTGGCAGTATTATTTATTTTACTACCAGAGTGAAATAATTACTTGATGATTATTTATTAGCGTGCGCTAATAAATATATATTATGTCAGATTCGTGAATCTAAAAATTTACGAGTTGTCATAGTTTGCGAGCGTTATGTAGTTTCGGATTTTGTGAGTTGAGCCGATAAACCAATAGTCGAAATCAGCCGATTCGTAAACCGTTGTTTATGAATTAATGGGGATTATTATTTATTATTATTACTATTATTATTATTATCATTGTTATTATTATTGAATGACTAAATATTATTGTTCCCTAACTGTAATTAATTGTTTAATTGTATATTTTTAATTATTAATATGATTATTTACAATATTCTCTCGATTGGGAGCGTTCGTATTCTCTCGATTGGGAGCGTTCATTATTTTTCTCTTCGATTTCAGGGATTGTAGTGCTGTTTTTGGCAATTTCCCGATTGGTTCTTTTCTCTCAAGTTGCGATTCAGATTTCCTTGATTTCTCACACCATCAGGGAGCGTCAGATCCTCACAA